AGCAGTGACCTTAAAGCGGTTTTTGCCCCTCAGGGGACTTTTAACAACATTAGTTATCAGAACTTGGGAAGGCCAGGGGGAGGGGAGTTATGATGCCAATATCTACGTAGCTGGTAGAGCCCAGGATGCTGCTAAACATCCTGCAATGAACAGAACAAAGAAATACTGAGACCAGAATGCCACTGGTGCCAAAGTTGTGAAATCCAGCTTTAGAGGAGTAAATCTTAATCTTTTGGAGGATCACCAGCACCTTCAGCCTCTACCAGGAATAATGTTGCATGTATTTAGTTTGTGTGTGAAATCCCGGGAGGGTGACTAATGCTGTGTGCATTCCTGTCTGCAGGTAATCACAGGAGGGTCGTGAGCCAGGCAAAGCGCCCTGTAACCCTCCTGGTATTTGTTAGGGGGACCATTGGGATCATCCAGGGGGTTTTAGACAGCAGGGCCTTCCCTCCACCTCCTTTCAAAGCTCTGGATTCTACTGAGCCTGCACAAAGAACTTGAGTAGTGATTTACAGTTTATAGAAGAATTTCACTCCCAGTATCTTAATTTGCCACTTTTCCTCCTTCACAGGTGAAAGCAGCCAGAGAAATTTGTCTCTGTCTCCCCAGCAAGGCCCAGCCCCAACCCCAGCCCCAGATGACAATGTAGTTCTCGTAGATGAAGGTAATTCTTTTGTTTCGCTATCAGCTGCCAAGAGGAGCACCTGTCTTTCAGGACCTCAGCAGTGAGTGTTTGGATCCCAGGGTACCTTGAGAGACTCCTGACAGCTCCATTTTTTTTTTTTTTTTTATGACAGTTCTTAATAATGTTGTGGCTCTTGGCCCTTTACGACCACCAGCAGGATGGTAGTGCCAAGCTGGCAGTCGTAGTGCTGTGCTCAGCCTACCCTGAAACTGTGAGGAAGGCAAGAGAGGATGAGAGACTGATGAACTGGAAACTTTGAGAATCATTTTGCGTGTGTGTGTGTGTGTGTGTGTGTGTGTGTGTGTTACCAGTGATTGAACTCAGAAGAACCTTTGCACTGAGCTACATCTCCAGCCCTTTAAAAAAAATTTTTTTTTAAAATTTTGAGATAGGGCCTCACTAAGTCACTGAGTTGCCCAGGTTGGGCTCAAGCCTATAGTTCTCCTGTCTCAGCCTCCCAGAGTGCTCGCTGGGATTATAGGTGTGCGCCACCATGCTTGAATTCTTTGAGACTCTTGAGCACCCATTTACATCTAAATGACCTAAAAATATTCTGTTTACTCAACAGGTCCGTTTTGAGTGAAGGTTGAATATTGCAAATGAGCACATTAGGTCTCAAAACCATGAGAAAAGTCAAAAGTACCTTTAAATCAATCTAGAGTTAACATGCGCATGTATAACTAAAAAAGTTTCATGATATAATGCTCACTTTTATTTCAGTGGTGCAAGTTGAATTCCTATGTAATTTTTAAAATTAATGACTAATGGCACACACCTATAATTCTAGTACTGGGGAGGCTGAAGCAGGAGGATCTCCGTGAGCTCGAGACCACCCTGGGCTACATAGTGAATTCAAGGCCAGCCTGAACTACACAGCAAGGCCCTGTCTCAAAATAAAATAAAAGTCTAGAACCTAATGATTTTAGGATCAATAAACAATGATTTGAAAAAAACAGTGCCTCAGACCAAACCAAAGGAAATAAAACTTATTTTATTTAACATAGCAAAACATTTATTGCTGCATTTTTGGCATACATAATGATAGCACTCATCATAGGGAATTTGTACCTGTAAATGGTTCATCCTGCCTCTTAAAACTTTTAATATAGATATATAGTACATGTATGTTAAAGACTTTTACCTATTGCTGGAGAATCTGTCAGACATTACAGCCAGTGTGCAAGAGAATCCAAGGAAGATTCCAGAAAACTATAGGACAGGAATACTGAAATTAATGTGCAGGTGGAGGCAAAACTGATTCCTTTCACAGCGGGAGAACTTATTTACATATCTATTTACTTACATGGAAAGAGAAAATTTGTTTACTTGTACTTTTTATTCCAGTTATTTATAATTTATACAATTGTAAAAATAACTCAGAAGTTAATGAAAGAGTAGAATCAGAGAACCTAGCAGAAAGGGTTCCAAACAATGCATGGTTTTTCCCTGACGCACGTGTTTTCCATTTGATTGAACACTGTTTTGTTTTGATTTGGTGCAGGCGATCAAACTCAGAACCTTGTGCTTGCAAGGCAGGCGAGGCGCCACTAAGCTAAATCCCCGACCCAAAGACACACTTGTAATACCAGCACTCAGGAGGCTGAGGCAGGAGGATTTGAGTTTGAAGCCACCCTGAGCTATAAAGCAAGACCCTATCTCAAAAATCTAAAATAAATAAAGAAAAGGGAAAGATATTTGAGCTCATGAAAAAAAGTTTATCTCATTAAATCTAGTATTTATATAGATGCATCAGACCTACAGAGTTTGCTTTGCTGGAAATCCTCATAGATTGGACTTATTTTAGTAGTACAGAGGACCAAACCTAGGGATCACTTAGCTACATCTCTAGCCCTTCTTATTTTGAGACAGGATCTCACTGAGTTTCCTAGGCTGACCTCAAACTTTGCCTCAGCTTCCTGAGCACCACCAAGCACCACCATGCCTGACTTAGATTAGACTTTTTTTCTTCTCAGTATTGGGGATTGAACTCAGGACCTTGTGCTTGCCAGGCCAACACAGCGCCACTGAGCTACATCCCTGGCCCAGATTAGACATTTTTAAAGTCCCAGGTAGCATCTTAACTTGGGGCAGATTTTTTCCTTCTTGAGATCCCCGCAGTAGCCCAGCGTTCCTTGAACTTATAAATTGCTAAAACTTCCTTTTTCTCTTTTCTTAGTGTGTGTGTGAGAGAGATGGGGGCACTGGGGATTGAATCCAGGGCCTTCACACTGAAATGTGTCCCAAGCCTTTTTTTGTTATTTTGAGACAGGGTCTCACTAAGTCAAAAGTTTCCCAGGCTGGGTTTGAATGTTCCTCCTACCTCACCCTCCCAGAGTGCTGGGATTATAAGCCTGCCCCACCACACCTGCTTAAAGTATAATTTCAAAAAGGGAGAAACTGAGCCAGGGATTTAGCTCAGTGGCACCACTCCTGCCTTGCAAGCGCCAAGGTCCTGAGTTCAATCTCTGTTCCGAAAAAGGGGGGAGGAACTATGACTCACCCACTGATATAAACAGATTTTAGTGATTTAAGGCATCAGTGAGGAAACCCATACAATGATGCAGATTAAGCATGGTAACATATAGGAATCCTTTACTTGATACTCAGCAGGAAGAACTTCAGATTCGGGCCGGGGATTTAGCTCAGTGGTTCCACTGCCTGCCTCAAGCTCAATGTCCTAAGTTTGATCCCCGGTACCAAAAACAAAAGAAAGGACTTCAGATTGTTTCAGGTCAGCCAGAACTGCTGCCCACCTCTCTTAAGGATCTCTAGTCCAGTGTTTGTCCAAATTCAGTCCATAGAATACCTACATGAGCCTCTTAGTATTTGTCAGAAATCTTAATTTTTAGGGCCAGGGAATTAGCTCGGTGGCATTGCCACCTGCCTCGCAAGTGCAAGGTCCTGAGTTCGATCCCTGGTACCACAGGGGGGAAAAAGCTTGATTTTTAAATCCCTCTCTAGACTCTAAGCCATCATTTTGGTTGTGATTTTTTTTTTTTTTCTTTTTGCAGTGCTGGGATTGAACTGAGGACCTAACACAAGTGAAGTGTCACCTCTACCCCTGAGTTATACCCCCAGCCCAGAATCTGCATTTTTATCACATACCCTGAGGAATTCTCATAGATTAAACTTGCAGAAGGGATTGAATAAAAGTTTCATGAAAGCTGTATTTCACCTCATTATACAGATGCTCTCTCCCCAGTCTCTCGGTTTTCTCTGCTGGAGTGAAGCGGGGTGTCTTGACCAGGGCCCAGTGACATTTCAGTGCAGACCCTTGTGGTGGGCAGAGAGGCTTACAGGAAGTTTAGCTACAGACCTCTGCCTCCAGCCCCCTTCTGCACTGTGCCTAAATTGACAACCAAAATTTTCAGAGGCTGGCATGATGGCACACACTTGTAATCCCAGCACTCGGGAGGCTGAGGCAGGAGGATTGTTTCGAGTCTGAGGCCAGCATAGGCTACATAATTTAAGGCCAGCCTGAACTACATAGAGAGACCCTGTCTCAACCCACTCCCCAAATTGTCTCTAGATGTTGCTACATAAATTGTCCAGGTGGCAATTGGGCGGGGGGGGTGCAGGGGGGCAGTGGGCAGCAAATCAATGAGGAAAACATGGTTTCTTAAACCCTTTTTCTCCTGGAATCATGGAAGATTTATTCCTCAGGTTCAAATGGAAAGCCTCCTCACTTTAAAAGGTGATTATGACCTTAGTTTTTTTATTTCAAAATAAGGCATACATGTTATAAAAAGTGTTTTTTTAAAGGAAAATTCCCCATGAGTTTCTCTACCTTTCAAGTGTTTCCTCTGCTAGGCTAATGCTGAAGTTTGGGATTAGAGGTGCCAAGCCCCAACCTTAAAGCAAGTTATGCCATGTTCACCCATCCTTCAGAACTGTTTCTAAGTTATTTTCCCCTTGAAAGTATTTTTATGACCTAGCCAAATAGATCTCTGTATTACAGAGATTCAAAGCATCATAACTTTTCTGTTTTTTTGGTACTGGGGATTGAACTCAGGACCTTGCACTTGCCAGGCAAGGTGTGGTGCCACTGAGCTAAATCCCTGGCCCATAACCCTCTTCGTAGTTATGATTTCATATTTTTGTTTTGTTTTGTTTTTATATTGAGGATTGAACTCGGGACCTTGCGCAGGCAGAGGAACCACTGAGCTAAATCCCCAGCCCCTAATGTTGTAGGGATTTGATTAGGGGTTTGTTTTGGTATTGGGGCTCAAACTTGGGATCTTGCTCTTGCGAGGTGTTTGTTTTTGAGACAAGGTCTTGCTGTGTACTTCAGGCTGGCCTCAAACTCGAAATGATCTTTCTGCTTCAGCCTCTCAAGTGCTAGGATAACAGGTCTGCGCCACCATACCCGGCTTTTAATTGTGATTGAGAGTCTCCCCGTCCACTTGTCTCAAGCACGAGGAACTGGTCCATTTTTGAATTTCACTGTATGCCTGGGACTGGCACACTGCAAACCTTAGACCTGGTTGAATGATACAGAGATGGCCAAATGGATGTGCCCATACTGTGGAACACTGCCAGGAGTTGGAATGATACAGAGCAATATACAGTATTGTCATGAAAAGATCTCCAAAGTAAAGTGAGTGGTGGGGCAGCAGTGTAAGGTAATATAGAAATACCAGTCTGTTCCCCTCACGGTGTGAGAGAATGTAGAACAGGAAGTTGAAATAGAATCCATTTGCAGTAGTAGTTAGTGTTCACCCGATAATACTGTGGAGGGTGCAAAAGAGTCTTCAGAGGGAGTGAAGGAAGTGGTTTTTGGAGTGGTAGTCAAAGGAAAGCCTTAATCGTACTTCTAAAAGTCTGCTTTACAATTTACTGCAGTAAGATTCACCAATTTTAACTGCATACTATCTGGTTTTTTAAATTGCTCATCACTATTCATTATATAGATACAGTTGGGGGCTTTTTTTGAGACAAGGTCCTTCTGTGTAGTCCAGGCTGGCCTCAAACATGGTGATCTTCCTGCCTCAGCCTCCTGGGTGCTGGGATCACAGGCACGCACCACCACCACACCCAGCCTTAGTTGTGGGTTATTATGAATAGACCTGCTATGAACATTACAAAAAAAGGAGCTTTATCCCAAAGGCAGACACAGGAAGTATGAGTGGTGGCTGTCCTTACTGGCTTGGCTCTGGATCACAGACACCCAAGACTGAGCCCTGGACTCCTCTTCTCCAAAATGAAGAACACCAGTCTAATTGATGAGGCTGTTTGGAAGGTAAAATGAAACAGTGCACTCAAAAAATGAAATAATGCCAAGACTTAGCATTGTGTCCTGAATATCATTACTCTTTGGCAGCAGAAACTCTGAAGTAATATTCCTTTAGATTCTTCGTGTGTGTGTGTGTGTGTGTGTGTGTGTGTGTGTGGTACCGGGGATTGAACCCCAGAACCTTTGCCATGAATCATAGCTCCAGCCCTTCTTATTTGTTATTTTGAGATGGTGCCACTAAATTGATGAGTTGTTCAGCATGGGCTTGGGCTTGGGGGTTGGTCTGATTAGAATGGGAGGCATTGGAGTTGGGGTCTCAGAATCCATGGTGCTGACAGGCCTTAAGGCTGGCTTGGATGACCTTGACTGATCACTGGAGGGTGTCTGCAGGCTTTTCCTGGGTTCACAGACGTGTGACATTTTAGAGCTCTGCAAACTAGTGGCACAAAGGTAGGACCCCTGTTTTTTTCTGAGTTATGGAGTTAGAGAAGAAATTACAAAATGTAGTATATCCTTAAAGATTATACTTTCCGTCTCTCTCTCTTCTTTTTTTTTTTTTTTTTGCAGTACCAGGGATCAAACTCACGACCTTGCACTTGTGAGACAGGTGCAGTGACACTGTGCTAAATCCCCACCCACTTTCCCACTCTCAAAAGAATTTATGCACATTTTAAACTATTTTTGGAACAAAAGAATTTAAGAAAAGATAAAAATCACCATTTTGACTACTTTCAACATTTTTATTTATTACTTTCTAGTTACTGAAGTGTTTGTTGGTTTGTTTTTGGCTTTTGGTTTTTGAGAGAGGCTTTCACTGAGTAGTCCAGGCTGACCATGAACTTGTGATCCTCCTGTCTTAGCCTCCCAGGATGCTGGAATGATAGGTGTGCACCACCATGCCTAGCTTTAAATGTTATAAAGTTATGAGCATGTAGAATAAAATCAGTCATAATAGCAAATACTATGCTGAACATGGTGGCACACACCTGTAATCCCTGCACTGAGGGAGGTTGAGGCAGGAGGACTAGAAATTCAAGCCCAATTTAATAAGATTCCCATCTCAAAATAAAAAATAAAAAAGGGCTGGGGATATATCTGAGTAGTAAAGTGCCCTCAGGCTCAATCCCCAGTACTAAAAACAACCAAAACAACACAAATGTTACTGAGGGAGGGAAGAAATGTAAGAAAGCCAAGTGCCTCACGGGCTAAAGGTGCTTAAAGATAGTGTGGTTATCCTAGTAATATTTTGGGGTACTTTTGAAGAATTTTACTCCTTTAGAAAATATAGGGTTTTGGTTTTTTTTTTGTCTTTTGGGTTTTTTTGGTACCGGGGATCGCACTCAGGTCCTTGTACTTGCAAGGCAGGCGGTGAAACCACTGAGCTAAATCCCTGGCCCCTAGAAAATATAGTTTTTGTTCAATTTATTAATTGTTTTTGGCTAATACTTTTCATAAATCAGCATTTTTGGAGAATTCTTTTTTAACTCCCAATATGGGAAAATGGCCAGATTATTGTTTTAAAATCATTTTTTCCCCACTTAACTTTACCAAGGGCATGAGAACATTTTTAAGAGAGCAGCATTCCCCTTTTTTGGCCACCTGCTGCTGAGGATTTAAATCTGTCTCTATGGCTGTTACCCACCTGCATCACATAAAGCTTTGGTCTTTTACAAGCGCTCTGTCTGGTCTGCAGGTGGAGACTTTCTACTCTAGAGAGGAGCACAGCAGCAAACCACGTGCTTTAATATTGAGAATGCTGGGCAAATAAAGTACATCAGAGGCACTAATATAAAAATGGTAATAGTTGTGCGTTGGGGTGGCAGAATTATGGTTAACTTACTGGTGTTCTTAACATTATAAAAAGATTGCTGCATAGGTTTTAGAGTATAATATCAAAACTTAGTAAACCTCACAACTATGATTCCTCCCATCCATCTCCATGGATGAGGAAACCAAGCTGAGGTAAAGGGCTTTGGTAAAGCTGGGTCTGGTACGTGTGACCCTTGGGATGTGAATCAGACCTACAAGGATTGTTTTTTGACAATTTTACTAAGGTACAATTCATACATCATACAATTTCCCCATCTACAGTGTACCTTTCAGTGGTATTTTGGATTTTGGTACTGGGGATTGAACCCAAGGCTTTCACACTAATCTGGCAGTAGAGAGGAACAAGAGCTTGCTAGGTGACCATCCAAAATGGAAAAATTGCAAATAAGAGAAAATGTAAAAATTTTTTTTCTGGTGGAGCTGGGAACTAAACTTAGGGCTACACACATTACGTAAGTGCTACACGCTGAGCTTCGCTTTCAGCTCAGAAATGTAAAACTCATAATCATAAGGAGAGATAACTTTTATTTTTTTGGTACCAGGACTCAAACTCAGGGCCTCACACTCGCCAGGCAGGTACTGCACCACTGAGCTACATCCCTGGCCCAAGGTTATTCAGAACTCTGGTTATTCAGAAATCTTATATTGTTCTCCAGTGATGTCAGGGAAATGGGAATTACAGGTGTTTTTTGTGCATATGATAAAATAAAAATGCCATAAAATTTCCATTTTAACTTCTCCCTCCCCTTCCCCCTTCGTCCTAGTACTAGGATCGAACCCAAGGTCTCACACATGGTAGGCAGATGCTCTACCACTGAGCTACACATCACCTTTTTTTTTCCTTTTTTTTTTTAATTTTGAAACAAGGTCCTGCTAAGTTGCCCAGGCTGGGATCAAACTTGTGATCCTCTTGCCTCAGTCCCCCAAGCAACTGAATTACAGGTGTGGACCACCGTGCCTGACAGCATGTAGTTCAGCAGCATCCATTCACCATTATGCAGCCATCACCCCTGCTGTCTCCAGGAGGAGTTTTTCTTCTTCCTCAACTACAGCTGTCCCCATTAAAGAGTAAGTCCCCATTCCCTCTCCCCAGCTCCTGACACACCATCCTACTTTCTGTCTCTATAGACTTGAGAATGTAGGGACCTTATATAAGTGGACTCAACAGTATTTGTCTGGCTTACTTTGTGTTGTAGTTTTTTTTCCAGGCATTGGGGATTGAATCTGGGACCTTCACACTGAGCTACTTCCCCAGACTTTGTTTGTTTGTTTTACAGGATCTTACTAGGTAGTTCAGGCTGGCCTTGAACTCACTGTGTAGCCAAGGCTGGCTTTAGACTTGTGCTAATCTTCCTGCCTCAGCCTCCTGAGGCTGGAATTATAGGCCTGCATTACCACAGCTGGCTACGGTTGTTTTTTAATGCTTAATTCTTATTTCATGTCCTTTATACTTAATATTTTTGTTTTCCTCATTGGGTTACAAGCTCTTTATGTGATCATCTGCTTTTGTATAGTAGAATACATACATACATACATATAATAGAATACTCTCCAATATATTTATGTCAGGTCCTTTGTAGCCATTCATATGATTCCATCTACCAAGCCACTTGGTTCAGTCACTTACCAAATAAATCAGGTATGTATTTGGTTACTGCTATGTAACAAATGACCTCCAGTCTCCCTGCCTTAAAAAACACCAATTAGTTGGCCATAGTGACTCATATCTGTAATCCCAGTTATTCAGGAGGCTGAGGTAGGAGGATCAGAAGTTCAGGGCCAACTTGGCAACATAGTGAGACCCTGTCTCAAAATAGAAAGGGCTGGAGATATAGCTCAGTGGTAGAGTGCTTGCCTAGCACGCATGAGGCCCTGGGTTCCACCCCCAGCACTGCACATGCGTGATAACAGTACTCAGTCATTGCTGTGGGCTTCGGGTACCTGGCCTGTCCCACTGTGGTTTCCCAGGCTCCTTCCAGTGTCTGTGTCTGCATAGCTGGGGTGGGGTTGCCAGGCCACAGGTACCAGATGATTGCCTCGGTGTGGCAGCACCACGCTGCCTGTGTGTGGCCTTCTGTAAATCTTCCCTCTCTTGGCCCATGAGGTGAGGGCTTATGGCTCACATAGCCTGTTACTGCCACACTGTTGGACACAGCAAACTACTGAAACCATTTCAGTCACAGGTGGAAATAGTGTGGCTGCAGCAGTGCCTGAAAACTTAAATGTCAGATTTGTGTTTGTCTTAGTTACTTTTCTCTCGTTGCTGAGACAAAATACCCAAAACCCAAAGTTAAAGGAGTAAAAGTTTATTTAGCTCACGGTTTGTAGAGGTTTCAGTCTATAATCGGCTGGCTCCAAGGCAGGGTGGTCTGGCAGAGAGATTTGGCAGAGGAGAAACAGTTCATGGTGCCCACAAAGTAGCAAAGCAAGCAAAAACAACAAGGGAAACTTAACAGCATCTTTCTGCCCCTTTTATCTTATCCAGACTACTGGGATTAGGACAGTGCCAAACCAATCAGTGAAGTAGTTTAGTAATCACAGGCCCTTAATCCCAGCATCACACACTCTGGATTCAGCCACCTCTGAAAAACCCACCTATGACCACATGAGGCTTTAGAGGGACATTTGGACCCAAACCATAACATTCCGACCCTGCCCCCCCCAAAGACTCATGTGCATTCTTTTACACAAAAAGGCATCTAGTCCATCTCTAAGAGTTGCCAAAGTCCGAACAGTTTCAGCATTGCTGAAAAGTCTGAGTCCAAAGTCTCCTCTGAGATTTAAGGCAAATTCTTAGCTGCAAGCCTCTGTATAAATGAAAAGAAAGTTAAGCACTTCCAACATTCAGTGGTATGGGATAGACATTTCCATTCCAAAAGTTACAAAGTACCACCTGCCTTGCAAGCACAAGGTCCTGAGTTCTTTCCCCAGTACCAAAATAAAAAAAGAAAGAAAGAAAAGAAAAGCTCATCTCTGAAAGTTACAAAGGGGATAGCAAGGAATGGGAACAAAGCAAGTCCAAGGGCAAGTCCCACAGTTCCACGTCCAGCATCCCTGGCAGTCTGTGCCAAGTTGTGAACTCCAAAGGGCTTGGATAGCTCTGCCTCTGCAGCACTTGTAGTGGTTGTAGCTCCCATGGTCTCTCTCTTATGCCGGCTGTGCTGCCTCCGTGCTGTTTTCCTCAGACGATTCAAGTTCCTGGTTTCCCCAACCTTCTGAGGTCTCCAGTGCACCTTCAGATTCACACTCACAGCCTCCCGCACGGCCCTCTCAGGCACCCTGCCTGGCCTCTCAGGTCTCTTCTGAAACCTGGACGGAAGCCTTCCTGAGCCCACAACTCTGGTGTTCTGCATGTGCCTAAGCAGCATCCTACGAATGATGCCAGCTGGAGTGGTAGTCAGGCTCCCTCCTCTTTTAGCTGGAGGGGTCTGGTGCTTATGAACCAAACCCCAAGGGACACCTTCCCTAGGTTGCTGCCATTCTGGCCCATGATGCTCTGGGGCTTTCTTCTCAAAATCTTTCCCTTGCGCAATTTTGAGGCTACAAAGGGTTGAGTCCGGCTGCTTATGATTCCCTCAGGCCATCTTTTCTATTCTCCTGCTCCTTCTCAGCAATCAGGATCTTCTCTGCTCTTTCTTTACTGAAGCTTCCATTCTGGCCAAATTCAAAACGTTTTAAATCATTCTGTTGGGCTCTTTGCTCTGGATTCTCAACATAAGTCTGGTTTAAAGCTCCCAACAGTACCTAATCCACCACCTCAACATTAGATTGCCTTGAAATTTCTTCTGCCAGAATCATTAGCCTACTGCCCTTAATCTCAGCCTCAGGAGAAGTCTCTGGACACAGGCAAAAAGCAGACAAACTTTCTGCCAAGCCATAAAACACATCTGGAGTCCAACTGCCAGTGCAGTCCTTCTTCCCAGCAGAAACCCTCTGAGCCTGGTCTTTACCTTCTGGTCCTCTGAGCTCTGACCAGAATCTCCCATGCAGTGCAGCCTAAGGAGCACCAAACCAATCAGCATAGTGGTTTAGTAATCACACACCCTTAATCCCAGCATCACACACTGTAGATTGAGCCATCTCTGAAAAAGCAACCTGTGACCCCATGTGGCTTCAGGGTGCCATTTGGACCTAAACCATACCAGTGGCCATTTAGACAGCTACCACACTGACTCTCTTAATAGGTAAGAATGAGAACAGAACATCAAGACCAGATCTAGGTGATAGCAGGCCCCCAGCTTTCCCATGAGACTGTGGTCAGCACAGGGCAGGGCCTTTTGTTCTGCTGGAGCTTTTCCATATCTTGGAAGTGTGTGTGTGTGTGTGTGTGTGTGTGTGTGTGTGTGTGTGTGTGTGTGTGTGTGAGTGTGTGTGTGTGTGTGTGTGTGTGTGTGTGTGTGTATGTGTGTGTGTGTGTATGGGGGTGAGGGCTGGGGCTTGAACCCAGGACCTTCATCCTAAGCAGTATCCCCAGCTCTCTGTCTTTTTAAAAAAATGTTTATTTTGGGACAAGTTCTCAAGAAGTTGCTGAGTTGCCCTTTCTGGGTAACTTGAGGTCCTCTTGCCTCAGCCTCCCAGAGTGAAAGCATCACAGGTATTCGCCACCCCTCCTGCCTTGGAAGCCTGAGGGCTGGGGCTTGAACCCAGGACCTTCATCCTAAGCAGTATCCCCAGCTCTCTGTCTTTTTAAAAAAATGTTTATTTTGGGACAAGTTCTCAAGAAGTTGCTGAGTTGCCCTTTCTGGGTAACTTGAGGTCCTCTTGCCTCAGCCTCCCAGAGTGAAAGCATCACAGGTATTCGCCACCCCTCCTGCCTTGGAAGCCTTTTAACCAGAAATTTTGGATGAAAGGATTGCGCTCTTTGCTCCCAGATGGGGTCAGTGCAGCTGCATGTGAATGTGGGGGTGGTGGTCGTGCCAGCCTTGTGTCTGGAGAAGGCTGGTCTGCAAGCCTGATGGCCTGAGACCTGTGGGAGCCTGAGTGCCTGAGGAATGGGGAGCGCAGCCTAGCCCGAAGTGCTGGTGGCTTTCCTGAGTCCCGAGGGTGTTGTGTGGGGATCTGGGAAGATGCGGGTTGGGGGCCCAGAGACGCCAAGGTCACACATCTCAGATGTGCCTGTTCATCCGGGAGCACAGGGCGTGGGTATCCAAGAGGTGGGCTGCCCACAGAGGGGCTAGTGCCAGGGCCCTTCAGCTCACAATGGCTCAGTGTCCAGGGGTGGGGCTGCCGGTGTGACCCTTTCCTGCCCAGGAGGTGGCCTCAAGGGACCTTTGCCTTGGGTGCCCCGAGTCCCCAGCACCTTGTCGCCCTGTGGGACGGGGTGGTCAGGGCCGGGAAGGACTGCACAGGAGGCGCTGGGGCTGGCTTGTGCAGGAGCTGGGCCAGGGCTCCAATCATTTGCTTGTTGCCTGGAGGATTTCTTTACCAGGAAGCACCTTGCTGCTGCCAGGAAGGCTCTAGGGACCTGATGCCCCTGGAGCTGACCAGGCCTTTGGGGAGCTGACTGCAAATCCCCAGGTCGGGGAATGTGGGGGAGTGGGGATGAGCACCACAGAACCTGTAGGGGCAACAGTTCCGAGTAAAGAAGCTGAAAATGTCAGAGGGGGCTACAGTCTCATTTTAGGGGCTCTTACTGAAAAGCACGAAGACCCACCAACTGCTAGTCACCCCAGAAAGGCCAGCCATTAATGTCTACAGACCAGTGCAGCCCTGGGCTCCCACCTTTCCCAGGTCAGAAGCCTGAGAGCCCCCAGTGACCTTGAGGGTACGCCAGCACATTCAGAGCCCTGTCCTTGCCTGGCTGAGGTTGCGCCGGCAATAGCTCAGGCCCAAAGCCACTTCATTGCGGGGCCCTGTCATCTCTCAGGGACTGGGTGGGTCTGGGGCCTCCAGACTAGGACAAGGTCTGGCTCTGTTCACAGCATCCGGGTACAGTGCACAGGGCCCAAGCAAGTCCCTGGGGGTCTGAGCAGAAACAGTGGGGTTCAAACATACAGGGTGTGTGCACCTCCATGTCCTCATCAGCAGAGGGGGCGGTAAGAACAACCTGCTCATGGCCCAGGGGCTGGAGGTTAAAAGGAAGAGTAGGTGAGGACACCACCCCTGTGTTGGGCTCAGAGGTAGGAGGTCAATTACTGGTGCATTGTCACCTGCCAGGCCCTGGGGAGGGGCGTTTATGGGGAATGGGAAAGGTAAGGCCTGGGTGGGGAAGGGATATCCCCAAGGCCCTGTGAGAGGAACCGCAGAGCGGAAGGATTCTATTTCTGTCAGGTCCCTTCCCAGCCTCACAGCCTCAGGGACACCTTGGCTGCCCATCTGGCCCAAGGATGGAGATCCCAGGTCCATTTCTAAGCCTCAGGCCCAAGGGCTTCTCCACTGACTGAGGTTTTGCCTCCTCCCTTAGGACAGAGCCCGGACTGGCAGATTCCAGGCCAGGGAGGAAGAGGAACTCATTTGCTGGGCTGAGCATGAGCTGAGGGTCAGGCCGACAGTCCCGGGATGCCCCTGCCTGAGCCCAGTGAGCAGGAGGACGAGAGCATGAAGCCAGCCCAAGAGCCATCCCTGGAGCCCAGCATGGACGGCGTCCCAGCAGACCCCAGTGAACCCCAGGAGTTCCCCAATCTGGTCCTGCTGACAACCTCAGACCAAGAGGGGGTCGAGGTGGGCGCTGATCCCACGGAAGTACACTGTGTCATCTCCCTGGAGGTGGTTGACCCCTCCACCCTGGCCAGCAACCTCCAGATCCTGCCAGCTGAGGAGCAGGTCCAGGCAATGCAGCCGCGCCTGTGGTCCTCGGGGCTAAAGCGCAGCAAGCTGGAGCCAGGTGAGGCATCTGGGCTGCTGCCTGGCCCCACCCCCTCGGTGGACCTGCATCTGAGATGTGGGCCTGTGCACCCTTGGCTAGCGGGGTGGCCTTGGTGTGCCATCCCTGCTTGCAGAGAAGGCTCATGGTCTTTAATCTCCACCTAGCCCTAGACCAAGGTGCTCATCTCACGTCACCCCTGCATAGCAGAGCACCTCCCTGCTGGGCATCACATCCTCCCGGAGCTCGTGAGAGTTGCGGGGATGTCCAGAATTCTTTCAACTCCTTAAAATATCCCTTTGCCCCATAAACCAGCCTCAAGAGTCTGGGCTTCTTTCCTGGCCACCTGGAATCACTGGGACCCATGACCCTCATTGGCTCTAACCCTGGCCTCTAATCCAGCTTTCTCTTTGCTTCCAGTCTCCGAGCCCCTGGAGTTCCTAAGGACCCCGTTCGGGGGCCGCCTGCTGGTCCTTGAATCCTTCCTGTACAGGCAGGAGAAGGCAGTGGGGGACAAGGTGTACTGGAAGTGCCGCCAGCATGCTGAGCTGGGCTGCCGGGGCCGGGCCATCACCCGCGGCACAAGGGCTACGGTGATGCGGGACCACTGCCACCCCCCTGACGAGGAAGGCCTAGCGGCCCGGCGCCAGAAAGAGAAGCTACCTAGCTCACCCTTGCCAGAGAGCTTGAGGGATCCCCAGGGTCCAGTGGAGGAGCTGCTCAGGGGAGTGGGTCCGTGGCGGCACCCGGAGGGACCAGGGCGCAACTCCCAGCATGTACAGAGCAAGCCAGTCCCACAGCAGCCAGAGACCGTGTCCGTGCTGAGCTTGCCACCCAAGAAACGCCAGATGCTACGCATGGGTGAGTACAGGCAGCACCTGCCTCCCTGGGCCAGTGGGAACCCACAGGGTTACTCATGCCGAATAACAAAGGTAGGGTTCCACATCTTGTTTTAAATGTGCTAAGGGAAGCTGGGCGTGGTGATGCACACCTGTAATTCTAGCACTCTGAGGCTGGGGCAAGATGTGATTGCAAGTTCAAGCCCAGCCTGGGCAACTTAGTGATTTAGTGAGACCCTATCTCAAAGTAAGAAATAAATTTAAAAAGAGCTGGGGATGTAGCTTAAGGTGAAAATCCTGGGTGCAATCCCCTGTAACAACAACAAAAAAATTGTGCTCAGGGAAAAAAGTGCTTAAGCTGTGGGTGGTGATGCACACCTGTTATCCCAGCACTTGGGTGGCTGAGACAGGAGCGTTGCCACGAGTTTGAGGCCAGTCTGGACTACATAGTGCATTCAAAACCAGCCTGAACTACATGTCCTGTCTCAAAGAAAACAAAGTGTGCGCAAGGTCACAATAACTTTGAAGAACATAAACATGTCCTGATAATCATTAAGCCTGTGGGACACTGCTCTTTACCCAGCTAAGCTCTGGATTTAAGCATTAAAGAATGCTGGGCTGGGGAACGTGGTGGGGCAGGAGAGCCTTTTTTCCTTTTTCACTCCAGATCCTTTAATTCCATTTAAGTTGTATAGCATATGTGTATTATTCAAAAAAGAGATAAGATATTTAAACAAAGTATTAAAAAAAAATGGTAAAGCCAGGGATTTAGCTCAGTGGTTCCGTGGCCTGCCTTGCAAACGCAAGAACCCAAGTTTGATCCCCGGTACCCAAAAAAAAAAAAAAATGGTGGAAAGTAACTGGGAACCTGGGCTGCCAGTGGCTCTCCTGGTGTTACCCTGGCGTGGTGTTTAACCCTTTGAGCTGTCCCTGCCCCTGGAAGAAGAGTCCACTCCTACCTGGGTATCTGGCTGGTGAGAGCAGGAGAGCACCTTGGTAAGAGGCAGCTGCACAGGGCAGAAAGTACAGGTTGGTCTCCAGCTCTGCCACGGGCCACTCCTGCCCGACCGAGGCGTCCTGACCACCCCGATTACTCCCTGCAGGCCTGCCCCCAGGCCTGGAGTTCCTCAACACATGCTACGGGGGCAGCTTCCTCGTGCACCAGTCCTTCATCTACAAGCGGGAGAAGACTGTGGGCGACAAGGTGTACTGGACGTGCCGGGACCACACGCTGCATGGCTGCCGCAGCCGTGCCGTCAGCCAGGGTCATCGGGTCACAGTGATGCGTGGCCACTGCCACCCACCCGACATGGAGAGCTTGCAGGTTCGGCGGCGGCAGCAGGAGAAGGCCATTCGGACACTTCAGGCCAGGCCACCTGGCCTTGGGGGCTGCAAGGACAAGCTGCTCCGAGGCATGGACAGTCTCGCCTGTCACCAGGGGCCTGGGCCCAGAAAGAAAGCAAAGAAAGGTCAGGAGCTCTCTGCCCAGACCGAAGCCCCGCAGGGATCCCCTGAAGAGGACCAGGATACTGATCCCGGTGAGCCTTCGTCCCCAAGGACGTGCTGTCTGAGGTCCTGCTTGAGCGGGTGGGGGAACCTGCCTGTCCAGTCAGCCCAGCCTTTTCAGCGTCATCCCCATCTTCTGGGGCGCTGCCCCTCTCTGACTGCCTCTTCTGCACCCCCTAGGAGGCCCTGAGTTTCTGCGGACCCCACTAGGGGGCAGCTTCCTGGTGTACGAGTCCTTCCTCTACAGGCGGGAGAAGGCCGCCGGCGACAAGGTGTACTGGACGTGCCGGGACCAGGCACGCATGGGCTGCCGCAGCCGCGCCATCACCCAGGGCCGGCAAGTGACGGTGATGCGTGGCCACTGCCACCCACCCGACCTTCTGGGCCTGGAGACAATGCGGCAGCGGAACAAACACCCCAGCCACACTCATCGGGAGAGCCTGGGTATGTGGAGAGACCCTGCACCTCTGTGAACCTTTAGAAGCCACAGTCCTGTTCTGATCTCCCTTCCTTGCCCCTACTCCTTAGCCCGCCAGGTTGTCCTGCTTCCCCATGTGCCTCCTAACCCCCCACCCCACCCCGCTCAGCCCAGCCTGCCCCCAGATCTCCCGATAAACCCAAATTTGTTCTTCCTCCTTCTCTTCTGTCATTTTGAGAAGTTACAGCGCTACTACACGAAACCAAGTACATCGGGTTGGGTCCTCATCCTCCCTAGGTAAAGTGGGTGAACCAGCTCAGGAGGGAGGATGTGAGATTTATTTGGAGCCAGGGTTTCTCCTCCAGCCTTCCCCATGGCCGCCTGCTCTTGGACCACCGTTCTGTTCTGCTCATCCCAGTCCACCAGGTTGGGAATGGTGCCCAGTGCTTTGACTATGAGGGTCACCAGGATGGAGCGTTCCTGACCTCGTCTGACTGGGGAGAGGAAGCAGAGCCCCCTCACCTTGCCAGTTGTCCACTGTGTCCACCAGGCGCTCCTCTCCCCTGAGGCTCCCTGCCCTGTACTTTTTGGAGTCACTTGAGTTACCTTTTGGCCTAAAGTTCTTCTATGCTCGAGAGCCGTAGTTTTATTCTTTGACTCACTTTTCATTCCAAAACGCCATGAGGTGCCCAGCTGCCCAGCCTTACCTTCTTCCCTTCTTATCCCACAAGTCACTGCTCCGATCTGTTGTTTCTTAGGATATCTTCTTTCTTTAAAAAATTTCCCTCTCTCCCCCTTCGCTGCCTTTGCACTGAGCTATATCCACTGCATCTACTGCCCTTTTTAAACAGTTTTTATTTTGAGGCAAGATTTTGCTAAATTGCCTGGGCTGGGCTTGAATTAGCAATCCACCTACCTGCCTCAGCCTCCCGGAGTGCGGAGATTGCAGGTATGTCCCTTCATCCCCGGCCTAAAAGTGTGTTTCTACAGCTGTTAACTGGTTTTTCAGTTTCTTTGTTGCCTGTTAAGTTCCAATCAGAGAAAGTAAGGATTAGCCCCACATTCGCTGCACAGATTGTGTTTTCACTTTATCGTAGAAACCTGTCACTGTCTTGCTAAGAATATACCGCTTAGAAGGAAGTTCCATTTCTTTCTCTATGTAGCTTTGTTCTCTCTGTGGTCCAGCAGCCACTTCGTTGCCTGGTTTTCTGGGGACCTGCTGCCGCTTCCTTCCTTCTCACTCGGTCACATCAAAACAGCTCCTGGTCTTGCTGGTGGCAGCTTTCTGTTTTCTGCTGCACCCTGGCCTGGGCCTGGGTGAGGCTCAGCCACCAACCATGCCAAGGACCTTCACCAAACTCCCAGCCTCTGAGCCTTCCTTTTTCTTGGTTCCTTTTTGTCTTGAAGTTGAGGGGGCCCCTTCTGAGCCACGGGCCTGGGAAGGACCACTTTCAACCCTGCCTGTCTGGAGCTGCACCAGGATGTAGCGCATCCCGCTACAGGCTCAGCCTGTTCTGGGACAGCATGGCTGACCCTGTTTGTGATCAGGCGCTGCTCAGGGACGTGGGCTCACCTGTCCACCCCTGGGGTTCCAGCTGTAGGGGTCACCGCTCAGCTTACGCCCTTCAGCACAGGGTATCTTCTTTCATCACTCCATGATGTCCTCATCCGAGTCTTTCTGTGGCTCCTGTCACTCTGACGTTGACTCTCCTGGGTGACCAATCATTTTTGCAGTACTATCTGAGATTTTTCTCAGCTTTGTTTTTAGCCCTCCCATTTAAGTTTTTAAACTTTTGATCTCAGGGGTTGAACATCTTTTTGTCCCACCTGGTGTCAGTAGCGTGGTGGCCTCTCTCTCCTGCTATGGCAGCAGCTTCTCTAAGCACCCTGTCCCCACCTTCCGGTCCTGGTTTCTGTCTCTTAAGATGCAGATTCTCTCAAGTGGGTGAGGACCCTCTTGGTCTGCTTATTTTGAAGGCAGAAACAGACTGGTTTTAGGCACAGGTGTTGCCCAGAACTTAGAAGTAAAGACTGGGGCTTTACTTCTACTGTGGGACCTCAGGCCTTGCCTGTGTGGTTTGTCAGGATGGACCTCCTGCCTAGAACACATACAAGGCGTGTTTACGAAATATAATCGATGTTTACATTTTTAAAACTTTATTACAGTAAAAGATACATTACCTGGCCAGGGATTTAGCTCAGTTGTGCCACCACCTGCCTCACAAGTGCAAGGTCCTGAGTTGAATCTCCACTAGCAAAAAAAAAAAAAAAAAAAAAAAAAAAAAAAAAAAAAAAAAAAAAAAGACACATTACCACATTACCATTAATCCCCCTCAGAACGCTCCCCTTGTTTGGAACATACTTACCCATAGATCTTGCGATGCCCTGCAGCATTTCTGGAAGTCCTGATTCCTGTGACTTCAGTGGTGTTGTCCTGGCTGCCTCTGTGTCCTGAACTGACTCGGAACATTTACCTTTCATGGTAATTTTGACTTTGGGGAAGAGCAAGAAGTTGCATGATACCAGCTCCAATAAATAAGGTAGATGTTTTAAGAGCCTGTCTGTTGGATGGTAGGAGGCAGCAGCATTCCTCTTATTTGTTATCACAAATTGTAAAGACACTCAAAAGAGAAGACTTCCAGAACTGCTTCAGTGAGTGGTAAGAGAGCTGGGATAAGTTCCTGCTCCTTAAATTTTTGTTGTTGTTGTTGGAGGCAAGCTTGCTTTCTTGTTGTTGTTGTTGTTGTTGTTGTTATTATTATTCTTATATTTTTTTGGTACCAGGGATCAAACTCGGGTCCTTGCGCTTGCAGCGCAGGCGGCAGAACCACTGAGCTAAGTCCCTGGCCCTGAAGCTTACTTTTTTGAGACAGTCTTGCTGTATAGTGCAGGCTGGCCTTGAACTAAGGATGATCCCCCTTCCTCAGCCTCCAAAGTGTTAAGATGGGTGACGTGCACCACCACACTAAACTTGAAGTTTGGGAGAAGAGTGTTCAAAGTTGGGGGGAGCTAGGCTTGATGGTGCACACCTGTAATCCCTGCACTTGGGAGGCTGTAGCAGGACGATCACTGCAAGTTTGAGGCCAGCCTGGGCTACATAGTGAGTTCATGGCCAGCCTGAACTATGTATCAAGACCTTGTCTTAAAGAAATAACGGGACTGGGGATTTAGCTCATTGGTGCTGCTGCCTACCTCTCAAGCACAAGGTCCCGAGTTCCCGCTACCAAAAGAGCAAAGTGAGGGGAGTGTTTTGAGGAGGATTAATGGCAGTGTGTCTTTTAGTGTAATAATTTATTTTTATTTAAACACACTTTTTTTTTTTTGGTACCAGGGATCGAACTCGGTCCTTAGGCTTACAAGAAAGGCAGCGGCACCGCTGAGCTAAATCCCTGGCCCAACACACATACTTTTTGGTTAGCCCTTATAAGCCTAGCTACCAGCATTGTGAGTCTTGGGCATAGCCTTTCCAGGGCAACTTCTACTCCCTCCTTGTGCCTCGGTGTCCCCTCTACCCCTGTCCTTGCCAGGTGGCTCACCTGTCTCCTTGCCCTTCATCCTCCAAACTCCTGTGTGAGGTCTGCACCAGATCCCACCCTTTTGAATCTCCTGCCTCTAGGCCCTGTCCTCTCAGCTGCTTCCCTGCCAGGCTTGGCTGAGTTCTGTTTGCTGTGTCTGTGAACCACCTATCTGTCCACCTCTCGTTCTTTTGGCATCTCTGACCCACTGTCCCATCCTCTGCAAATCTGTGGGATTGTGGGCTGTAACTTTTCTATCCCCAAACAGACCTTTGAATCCAGTGTGAAAGTCAGGGAATCTTACCTGCGTGGTCATGTACCTTGTTCCTCAGTCTGCTGTCCCCACTCCCTCCTGGCTGGCTGTCCCTGTGTCCCCAGACCCCTGTGTACTCTGCAGGGGTCCTGCTTCCCAGCTGCCCCCTTGGACCCGGCCTGCTCCATCTTCCCTGCCTCACTAGGTGGTTCTGTAGGACACCCCCCTTCATGGATTCTCACTCCCCTCGCTCCTGATGCTATCTGATGACTCCCTGCCTATCTCCGGCCACTGCTCTGTGGCCCCTGCTTACACAGAGGGTGCTCTGGGCAGCAGGACGTGGCCGCCTCAGTCTCCCCTCAGCACATCCCAGAGGGCAGTGCCGCTCCCACTTGCCCCTTCAGCTCACACCTCTGCCCAGCAGGGCTGCCTTGTGTGGGCTCTCTGACCCGCTGTGGTCACCTCTGCCTTCAGGGTCCTTGCCCAGCCAGTCCCGAGCCTCAGGAGTGGGAGTCCCTCAGCCGAGTTGGGGGAATGTGGGGTCTTGTGTCCTGGTCCCTAGGCCTCCTTACTGTGAACAAGGAGGTGTGCGCTGGCCTGCTTTCAGCTTTTGAGGATAGAGGTGCCCCTACTTCTTCCCTCCCAAGGCCTGGGCTAATCATTTCTGCCCTCTAATCATGTCTCCTTGCCTCTGCAGGAGGTCCCGAGTTCATACGGACCCCACTAGGGGGCAGCTTCCTGGTGTACGAGTCCTTCCTCTACAGGCGGGAGAAGGCCGCCGGCGACAAGGTGTACTGGACATGCCGGGACCAGGCGCGCATGGGCTGCCGCAGCCGCGCCATCACCCAGGGCCAGCGTGTAATGGTCATGCGCAGGCACTGCCACCCCCCTGACCTAGGTGGCCTAGAGGCCCTGCGGCAGCGGGAACACCTGCCCAACCTGGCCCAGTGGGAAGGCCCAGGTGCGGTGGGTGACACACAGGCCCTGAACCCTGGTCCCCTCCTGGGTGTGGGCTCCAAGGCAGCATCCATCATTCACAACACTGGCGCCGGTCTGGGGTGGCCATTGGTGGAATAAACCAGCTCAGAGTGGTAGGAAAAGGGCTCAAGGGCACGGAGTGGCGTTACTGGCAGCCACAGGAGATAGGCGTTACCAGTTAATGGGCCCTGGACCCTGGAGAGCCTCTCTCCCCTCTGGGTCCGTCTCCTCTCCCTCCCTGTGCTGTCTCCTGCTTCTGTTGATGTCGTTCTCTCTGGCCGCCCCGCTCCCACCATTGTATGCTGCTGCTTTCATTCGTTCAGCTGCTTCTTTCATTTTTAATTTTTTATGGTGCTGCGATTGAACCTACGGCCTTTGTACTACATCTCCAACCCTTTTTATCGTTTTACTTTTTGAGACAGTCTCTCCAAATCACTCAGTTGCCTGGGCTGGGCTCCAGTTTATACTTCTCCTCCCTCAGACTCCCAGAATGCTGGATTGCAGGTGTGCTGCCACCACCAGCTTCAGTTCAGCTTCTTTTCTTTTTTGGTACCGGGGATCGAACTCGGGTCCTTGTGCTTACAAGGCAGGCAATGGAACCACTGAGCTAAATCCCCGGCCAGTTCAGCTTCTTTAAAGCCTGAGAGTCAGTTCGGTTGCCAGCTGGACCCTCGGGTTGGGTAGACAGGGAACTGGGAAGCCTCCAGTGCACAAACCAGGTCAGGCTTCTGGGGGCCCAGCCTCTGCCCTGGGGGACCACCGGCAGGCATGGAGTCCAAATGGTCAGAGCAGAGCTCAGGGTTGGGGTGGCTGCAAGATCAGCCTCTCCAGGCCACATTGGAGCCCTTGCTGCGGGAAGGCCACCTGCAGTGGAGGGTGCCGAGGCACACGGTGGGGCTCCTGTCCTTAGGGCCCCAAGGGCGAAGTGTCGGGTAGGGGAGAGGGCCAGGGTGGAAATTGTAGCTGAGAGACAAAGGCAAGGCCTGGGCTCCAGTCCTCCCCTCACTGCGTCACTTTGCCCTCCAGAGCCCCAGCAGCCCCTGGAGTTCCTGAGGACGTCCCTTGGTGGCAGGTTCCTGGTGTACGAGTCCTTCCTGTACCGGAAGGAGAAGGCTGCCGGCGAGAAGGTGTACTGGATGTGCCGGGACCAGGCCCGGCTGGGCTGCCGCAGCCGCGCCATCACCCAGGGCCGGCGTGTGATGGTCATGCGTGGCCACTGTCACCAGCCCGACCTGGCCGGCCTGGAGGCCCTGCGGCAGCGCGAGCGACTCCCCAGCTCGGCCCAGCAGGAGAACCCAGGTACGCACAGGCAGGGTGGGTGTTGGAGGCTGGTGACACAAAAGAGGTGTGGACGTTTTGGTGTCTGCTAGCCCAGAACTGAAACCTGAAGCTGAGGACTTTTTTTTGAGATAGGGTCTCACTATGTAGTTCAGGTTGACTTCGAACTCACTCTGTAGCCCAGGCTGACCTCAAACTCGCAGCAACCCTCCTGTCCCCAGAGTGCTGGGATTACAGGTGTGCACCACCATGCCCGGCTGTCCCTTCTGCTTTTTTTTTTTTAAGTACCAGGGATTGAACTCAGGACCTTGTGCTTGCAAGGCAAGGGGCAGCACCTAGCCTTTCTGCTTTTTAAGAACATTCCCCTGTCCTCTCTACTGGCTGCTTCTCCATGACCTGAAGCCACACCCACGTTTCTCCTGTTCTTCAAAACAGGTTCCATTCCAACTACTGTTCCTCTCCTTATTTTTATTCTCAGACATCCTAACTTTCCACACGTCACTGTCTCATGAAAATATGCTGAACAATAGAGACTACTCCAGGAGGACGCGCTAATGTCTGTACTTGTGTGTGCATCAAGCTTGCAAATAGGTTTGTTGATTTCACATAAACAAATATAAAACCAGCCTGTAGGAAGCGTGTCTCCTGTTAATTCGTGTGAACATTAAGGAGCCCTGTCGTGCCAAATAAGAATGAATCAAAGGTGTATAAAACAACCAAGAGAAAAAAAAAAAAACACAACGAGATATTTGATTTCCCCTTTAAAAACAAAATTTCCATGAGAAAGTTGCAGTCTGGATTAACCAAGAAGTGAAAGTCACAGGGGCTTTGGCACAGTGATGGCAGGCAGCCCTTCCTTGACATTGAGTTGATTGCCGGTTCTTGATAACAAGGGCTGAAGACTGACTCTTAGATTCCCAATTAGCTTATTTTACCTGACACAGGTAGTTTAGGGTGTTAGAAAACTAGATTTCCCAGTGATTACCCCAGTCAGCTACTCTGCTGTTTATGTTAGGGGCCTCAAAGTCATATCTAACAAGGTGTGTCATTGGCTGAACCAGCTTGTGCAAGAAAAGAATGTGAGCCAGGCATGGTGGCGCAGGCCTGTAATCCCAGCACTCGGGAGGCTGAGGCAGGAGTATCACTGTGAGTTCGAGACCAGCCTGGCTACATTAGTTCCAGGTCAGTCTCACTACATAGTGAGACCCTGTCTCAAAACAAACAAACAAACAAACAAAAAAGTGTGTGTGTCTATGCATATGTGTGCTTTAAGCAATTTTTTTTTATGTTTTTGTTTTTGTGGTACCAGGACTCGAACTCAGGCCCTTACACTTGCAAGGCAGGGTGCGGAACCACTGAGCCAAATCCCCAGCTAAACGATTTATTTTTAAGTACAGTGCTCTAAAAGCAAATTCCTGACCCTTAAAATCTAGCTATGATGTATTTTCCAACTAATGAATTCTTCCTAGCTCAATTGTAATGCCATAGATTGCCTTCCATATATGTTTTTTTTATTTACATATTTTCATACATCTTTTTTCCTTGATGATTTAGAACAATTGCCCTCAAGCCAATGTAAATATTTCATAAATAGTTGATCATTTTCTAACCAGTTGGGGAAATATTTGTACAATAAGTCACTTCACATCTTTTAGAAAGAAAATTGCTGAGTCAGAAGAGAAAAAACGTGACACAACAGTACACTGAGAACCTGCTCTTGAGTGTTTACTTCCCTGGGCTGAGGGGGGCACACACGCGCGTGCGCGCACACACACACACACACACACACACACACACACACACACAAGAGCCGAGCATAGGGGTGCACTTCTGTAATCCCAGCACCAGGGAGGCTAGGGCAGGAAGTTCACTGTGAGTTTGAGGCCAGCCTGAACTTCCTAAGTGAGACTATATCTCAAAACACAAAACGAAAAGCCAACCCCTCCGCGGAAGAAAATCAGCCTTAGTGGTTTCGGTTTTACTATGGTAATATCTGTGGGGTTTCATTTGTCATCCTCAACAGTACCCATTCCTTTGTTGTCTACAATATCACCCTTTTGATAGATTCGCACCATATTTTCTAAAGGGCCTAGAGGAATCCTCCCTGGTTTGCCTTTATTTTCATCAGTTTAGCAAATTACTGGAAAATGGTCTACCAAAAGAATTCTTGATTCCTGTTTTCAATTTTTTTTTTTCCCAGAAAAGATAAAACTTTTGCCTGAAGCTCAACTGTGCATCAAGACTTGTTCTGAAAGCCAGAAGAATTGTGGGTAATTGTACTAGTTACCTAATCACCTTCAGTAGTGGTTCTCACAGCTTTTCTGGGTCAAGATGGCAGGGATGGTTGGGCTGTGTGGTTCTGACTTGGGCTGAAGAAAAAATGCTACCAGGGCCTTGGTCATCAATCTGAAGGCTCCAATGGGGCCAGAGGGTCCACTTCCAAGGTGACTCCATCACTCACACTGTGGGCTGTAGGGCTCAGGTCCTGGCCTGTGGGCCTGTTCTTAGGGCCGGTTGGGAACCCTCAAACATGGCTACTCACTCCTCTAACTTGAATGAGCAAGAGAGAACAAGAGGCAGCCACCAACAGCAGGAGAGTTTATTTCTTCTCAATACACATGGAATGCGTCCCAGGATAAACCGTACCTAAGCTATGAAAAGGAAGTTTCCTTAAATTTGAAACAAAAGTATGTTTGAAACAATGAAATGAAGTTAGAAATTAGAAACAAGAAATTCAGGAAATAGGACAGGGATTTAGCTCAGTGACGCCACGCCCACCTAGTAAGCACAAAGTCCTCAGTTCGATCCCCGTTACCAAAAAAAAGAAATTTGGAAAATGAGTATGTGGAAATTAAGCAACACACTAAAAAACAAAAACAAAACAAGAACAGAAACAATGGGTCAAGAAAGACATTATATGGAAAATTAGAAAATTTTTAAAATAAATGCAGTAAAGCAAAACTTATGGGATACAGCAAAACCAGTTCTTAGAATGCAGGCTTGGCGGTACATGCTCATAATCTTAGTACTCTTGAGACGCAGAGGCAGGAAGATCTTGAGTTTGAGCCCAGACCAGAGAATTTAGCAACTTTGTGAGAACCTGTCTCAAAAATTAAAAAAAAAAAATAGGGCCGGGGATTTAACAAGCTCAAAGACCGAAGTTCGCTCCATGGTACCAAAAACACAACAACAAAAATTTTATAAAAATGGCTGGATTATACCTTGGCACTCAAACTCTGGGTTCAATTCCCAGTACCACAAAATAAGAATGAATTAACTAATTAGAAGAACTGAGAATGTAAACTCGGGAAAAGCCCTGGTCAGTCTCTAGTACCTCAAAAAAAAAAAGTGTATAGAGGGAAATTTATAGCTGTAAATATTTACATTGAAAAAGAAGAAAGGTGCACACCTGTAATCCCAGCACTTGGGAGGCTGAGGCAGGAGGATCACTGTGAGTTGAGACCAGCCTGGGCTACATAGTGAGTTCTAGGTCAGTCTCAACTACAGAGTGAGACCCTGTCTCAAAAAAAACAAAAGAAAGAAAAAAAAGGTCAGGCCTGCTGGTACACGCCTACAATCCCAGCACCCCAGAAGGCAGGAGGATCATGAGTTCAAGCCAGCTTGGGCTACGTAGTGAGTTCAAGGCGAGCCTTAATTACATAGAAAGACTGTCTAAAAAAAACCAACAACAACAAAAAGAGAGGCTGAGACAGGAGGATCGGGAGTTTGAGACCTGCCTGGACTATATAGTGAGGTCCTATCTCAAAATAAGTGTGGAAAAAAGAGAAGGAAAAGGAAGAGAAGGTCAAATCAACTTACACGTGAATACACTTAAAAAGTAGAACAAAGATGGGCCGGGGATTTGGCTCAGTGGTTCTACTGCCTGCCTTTAAGCACAAGGGCCCGAGTTCGATCCCCATACCAAAAAAAAAAAAAAAAAAAAAAAAAAAAAAGAAAGAAGGTGATAAAGATTAAAATAATAAAATTAGTAAAACCCAAATTTAGTTTTTGAAATGATCAAGAAACTGTCAAACCTTACCTAGATTGATCCAAAGTTTAGAGAGAAGACTCAGATTATTAAAATAAGCTGGGTGTGGTAGCACAGGCCTGTAATCCCAGCACTGGGGAGGCTGAAGCAGGAGGATCACTGTGAGTTCAAGACCAGCCTGGGCTACATAGTTCCAGGTCAGTCTCAACTCCATAGTGAGACCCTGTCTCAAAAAACAAACAAAAAATAGTATGCCAACAAATTAGATAATTTAGATGAAATTTTTTGGGGGTGCTAGGAATTAGATCAGGGCCTCACTCATGCTGTGCAAATTCTCTACTGCTGGGTTATGTCCTCACCTCAATTTGGATGAAATTTTATAAACGCCTAGAAAGATATAAACTAACACTGACTCAGGAAGATATGAGAAAATCTGAATAGACCTATAAGTTATGAGATCAAATTAGTAATTTTTAAACTTCCCACAAAGGCCCAGGGCCAGCACCAGATGTAAGTCTACCTTGTAAATTCTACCAAACATTGAAATAAGAGTTAACACCGATTCTAAATTGGGCTGTGTGCATATCTGTAATCCCAGCACTCAGGAGACTGAGACAAAGATTGCTGTGAGTTCCAGGCCAACCTGAACCACATAGCAAGACCCTATCTCAAAAAATAAACAAACAAAAAAAAACTAACACCGATTCTTTTCAATAAGAGGAGGGAACTTCCCAACTCATTGTCTGAGGCCATTATCACCCTGACCCTAAAATCAAGCAAAGGGATCAGAAGAAAAGAAAGCTTCAGACCAACATACTTAGGCACGTAGCCGTCAGAGTCCAGCACATAAACAAGGACTGTACACCAGGACCAGCTGAGACGGTCTCAGGTTTAACATCGGAGCCTGAACGGTGTGACACACGCCTGCTCGGCAGGGGTTTCACTGGCGTCCAGAGCCTGTCCGGTAAATTCTTCCCTCCACTGCAGCAGTGCTATCCCCAGATGATGGCACTTACGCATCTGGGGGTTCTGCTGAACACTGCTTTTCTTCTGAGTCTAAAATTCAGTGATAGCAGCCAGTCTTCCAGGCATGCTATTTCCTATTTTCAAGTAAAAGCTTGAATTCAACTGGGTGTGGTATCTCATGCTTAGAATCCCAGTTACTCCGAAGGCCAAGGTGGATTGCAATTTTGAGGCGAGCCTGAACAACTTGATAAGCTCCTGTCTCCAAAACAACAACAACAAAAAATTAATGTTTATTTTGGCAGTACTGGAGGATCAAACCCTGGATGGCTTACTACTGAGCTATATGCCCAGCTCATTTTTTAAGACAGGGAGCCCATTTGTTTATTTAGAAACAGGTTCTCATTAAATTGCTAAATTGTCCAAACTGGCTTGAATTTCTAATCATCCTGCCTTAGACTTGCAGAATACTGGGATTTCAAGTGTACACCATTCTACCTGGCTTTCAAAATAAATACGTTTTAAATGGCTGGGGATGTAGCTCAGTGCAAAGGCCCTGGGTTTGATCCCCACCACTACAGGGGGAAAGAAAAGCCTGGACTCAGGTTGGGAGTGGACTCAGTGATAGAACCCTTACCTAGGGTGCACAAGGCCCTGGGTTTAAAAAACGGGTGTGTGTGTGTGTGTGTGTGTGTGTGTGTGTGTGTGTGTGTGTGTGTGTGTGATCTAGCTGATGGTTGTCTTTAGGAAAAAGGACTTACCTTTTTTATCATCTGTTTCTACCATGTTGAGTCGCTGTAATCATATGTGTTCCCTTGCGATCAGGAACGTGGAGGAGACCAGGCCAGACAGTGGGGCCCAGTGAGATGTCTCCATGCGGGCAGCAGAAGGGCGCTGGCCGGGGTCCCAGTGCTTCCGGTCCACACAGACATTTTCCATCCATCTAGAGTCGCTTGACAAGTTCTTCATCCTTCCCAAGTATCGATGGCCGTTTCCTCACAGGTCTCTCTGTGCTTGGACAGTGTCCCTGTGTCACGCAGAGCTGGTGGCATGTGGCGGGCAGGGAGGGGCGGTGCAGGGCATGGAACGCTCTGGAGGGAGCATCTCTGGGCTGCGCAAAGCCACAAGCGCCCTCTTCAGAGCTCAAACTTGGCAAGGACTTTGTAGCAGGGTGTGGTCCTGTTGAGCCCCGTTTACCATCACTGTGCCAGGGCAGGCAGGGGCTTTCTCCTTCCAGCGTGAGCTCCCTTTGAAGGTGGGCATAAGCCATATGAGTCTCTTCCAGATGGGTGGGAGGCGGCACTTCCAGGCTTCGGCCACCTGCCCCCCACTAGTTGCAGCCGGCCCCGAGCACAGTGGAACAGGCCCATGTCGGATTTGCCAGCCGGGTGCACACTTCCCATGACAGACATCCTTTCCCAGCAGCGGCAGCCGGCATGGGACAGACACCTGGGCTGCACAGTGCCCCTCTGGACAGCTGTGTTTACCCACAGCGCAAGGGTGGAAGGAGGTGCAGTCCTCCTCCCACTGGGGAGTTTAGCAGAGCTTCCGCCAGGGCAGTCTGGGTGAGCTGTTCTCTGAGGGGCACAGAGACACCTGCCAGGAACTGCAGAGCCTCCTGCTTGCCAGCAAGGCTGCACCTAGGCAGCAGGTCCTGTCCCTACCCTGTAATAGAGGAGGGAGCATGTGGTATGGTGGCAGGGCCCCCTCTCCTGGCAACCTGGAGACAGAACTGTCATCCTCTATTGAATAGTGACAGCTTGTGCCCCCGGCCCTCTGCTCATCTGCTTCCAATAAACTCTATTTTCCATCTCACTACAGGCTTGTGTGTGTCTACACCCCGTCTGTGACAGCAGCTGGCCGCTATGAAGCCACACACTGAGTCTCAGGGCTGTGTGTCTGGGAAGTTGTAGGTTCAGTTGGGCAGTTCCCTGGGCAGAGGGGTGGGGGATCTGGAGTGGAGACTTCGGGAGGGGATGCCGAGAGGCCTGGTGAGGCAGCACCATGCGCTGTCTGGGCTCTGATGGAGCAGGTCATGTTGCTGGGAGAGCCTCGAGTCCGCCCGAGTGTTCCATGAACTTGCTTGCAGAAGCCTGGACAAACTTGAAGTAGAGCACCCAGCCCACTGTCACCCCATACACACCACTACCTTCTGGACAGCTAACTCTTCATTTGTCTTTCTGGCGCATGACCCAACCCTGACTACCAGCCTCCCTGCCATTGGTTAAGAAGGTGGTCTAAGCTAGGTGTGGTGGTGCCTGCCTATAATTCATTCTGGGAGGCTGAGGCAGGAGGGTCCCAAGTTCAAGCCTAGCCTGGGTAACATAGTGACTTGAGATCTTGTCTGGGGAAACAAAACAAAAACTGGACATGTGGACTTGAGTCAAAAGCCCTGGGATAAATCACCAGCACTGGAAATAGGAGGAGGGTTTAGTGATTCGACAGGAACCTCCCAAGCAATGCCGCTGCTGTCTGCCAGTCACCCCAGCACTGCTGACCCTTGGCGGTGGACACTCAAAACTGGCTGCATTTGACCATGAGGCATCTTCCCCCCGCAAGGCTGAGAGGAGGTGGGCTCCGTGGGGTAGGACGGAGCACCCCACAGCCAGAGGAAGGCACCTGCACCCAAAGGACAGCTGTTTGTGCTGCCACCCTGCGTCTCCAGTCCCTCTGCAGGTAAGAAGCCGCAGCCCAGCCCATGCCATCTGCAGCCTGCACCTCGGGGCTCCATACGTCTTACTGTCATCTTTCCTGTTTACACGCCATAGCCCCCCACACCTTGGCGAGGGTCTGGGCACCCAAAAGTGGGCACGAGGAGAGTGTCTCCCCTTTTTGTGACACCCGTGTTGCCGACATGGCCAGTGTGTGTGGACAGGTGTTTGGCCCGCAGTGCTTGGATCGAGGACTCCTGGGTGGGTGTGGGCGCCAACACAGCTGTTGCCCTAGACAAGTTTGCGGGCCTCCCGGCCCTGCTGCAGATCCACTTGGCCACTTAGAACTATACTTCTCTGGAGCAAGAGCAGCGAGATCTCCCCAGGCCTGCCCTGTCCCAGAACAAAACACACCAACAGTCGCTGAGATACTGCTCTGGAGCAGCCCCCCTCTGCTTCCCTGCCCATGCGGTGCCAAGAGATTGCCCCAAACACCCCATTTTAGGCCAGATGTTATTACCAACGCTGGAATGCCAGCTAATGGAGAGGTGAAGGCATGAGGCTTACAGTTTTGAGTCCCGCCTGGGCCATTTAGCAAAACCCTGCCTCAAAAAGGGGGTGCCTGTGGGGGTGTAGTCAGTGGAAGAGCACTCCTGGTTCCTTCCTCAGCGCTGCCAACTTAATGAGAGTCCACCAAAAAGTGTATGCACTTCAGGAAAAGAAAAACGTATAAATATTTAAGTACTAAAGTTATTGAGACATCATGAGATTAATTCAAGTTACCGTGGCCTCTGCAATTACAAGAGATGCTCAAAGTGGTGGCCACGAGCTTCAGACGTTTATTAGTGCAGCGCACGGCTGCTGGGGTGGCCCTGCTCCCTGTGATTGCTGCACATGCGTTTTCAGTTTCTTCTCTATGGCCCAGCAGGGTAGTGGGTTTTCTGTGATACACAGCATCCTCCTGTACGAGGGTAACGCCATCTGCTGGAAAAATATACTATTTTCTTTTCCTAACGTGTGTGTATTTCTTGGCTGCTCCCTTTCTATATTCATTTTTTTGTTTGTCTCACTCTGTAGCTCATGCTGTCTTTGACCTCACCATGTAGCCCAGGCTGATCGGAAACTCATGGCATTTCCCCTGCCTCAGCCTTCTGACTGCTGGGATTACAGATGCGCATCACCGTGCCCAGTTTAATGAATTTTTTTTTTTAAATAAAAAGGATCGAGGTGCAGCAACACACACCTGTAATCCCATCAGACAGGAGGCTGAGGCAGGAGGATTATGAGTTTGAGTTTGGCCTGATCTACATAGCAAGTTCAAGGCCAGCCTGGGCTACATAGTGAGACCCTGTCTCAAAACAAAATGAAAAACCAACTACAATAAAACAAAAACAATAAATGAAAAAGGGATGAGGAGGTAGCTCAGTCTAGCATATGAGAACCCCCAGCTCAATCCCCAGTACTGTAGAAAAGGTAAATATAGGTACACCATGGGGCACTGGCATTGTCTCTGTGCTCTTGTCATGACTGCAAAAACAGTCTCATGAATTAAAAATAAAAAATTAAGGTTGGGGACTTAGCTCAGTGGTGCTACTGCCTGCCTTGCAAGTGCAAGTTCCCGAGTTCGATCCCCAGTACCAAAAAATAAAATAAAATAAATTTAAAAAATAAAAAATTAACTGGGCAGAGTGGAATGTGCCTCTAGTCCCAGCTACTCAAGAGGCTGAGGCAGAAGGATTTCTTGTGCACAGGAATTCAAGACTAGTGCAGGCAACAGTGAAACTGTCCTTAAAAAATAGTTCCCAAGCTCAGTGGCTCCATGCCTATCTGGAAAGCACAAGGTCTAAGTTCTATTCCTGGTATCAAAAAAAAAAAAAAAATCCCCAAGGAATAGCAAAAAAATGTGGACAAGGAACTCATCCGTTAAAAAAAAAAAAAAAAAAAACCCAAGGAATAGCAAAAAAATGTGGACAAGGAACTCAAACTCTGAAAACAATGGCAGTGGCCAGCTGTAGGAGCCACTGAACTTCCTGGTCTTGACCCCAACATTGTAAGATGAGCTTCCTGGAAGCCCTTCTCATGGCTCTGTCCTCTGTCAGTCCCAGCTCAACTGTCAAGGCAGAATAAGGACCCCTGGTCCCCAAGGTGAGCAGATGCTTCTCAGAGCTCCCCTGAACACTGACCACCCCTCCTCAACCCCCCACCATGGCTTTCCCTGCCCAGCTTCCTGTGGGTTCCAGGATTGGTGTCCTGGAGCAGGACTCAGCCCTGTCTGCTCATCCGCTCTCACGGGTCAACGTTTGTCAGTCTGTTGGCAGCCCCAGCGCCCACACCTGCTTGGCAATACCTGGCCTCTCCTCTCCCCACCCTGCTGTTCACCAGTGACCTCTGACCCCTGGCTATCCTCTGAGTCACCCCCTTACCCTGAAAGGGGAGGTACCACTAAGGGGGGAGTAACAGAATCTGCCACTTCAGGGCTGCTTCAAGGAGTCATTGCCACAGCCGGGGGAGGGCACCCACGCCTGAGTGCCGCCCTGTGTGCCCCCAACACCCCACTGCCCTCCCTTCATGGAATCAAGTCCCACTGTCCACATGAACAGATTATTTGTGACCTCTTGCTAGGTGCTAGGCCAACACTCCAGCCTCCTCTGATCTGAAGCTGAGCGTCCTTCGGGGGCTGGAAGGGAGGGCAGCTGCCGCGTTCTGGGCTCTGTAGAGAGGGTTCCCAGCAGTCACTCATCCGGGCTTTGAGGAGAGACAAGCTGCAGGTCATTCCCAGGGTGAGGGAGCCACCGCCTCTGGCAGCGGGGCCTCAACTTGGATTTCCAGGCCTGGGAGAACGGAGGGCCATGTGAGGAGGGTGAGCAGCCAGCAGAGAGGAGGCGCAGGGGCTCGGGGTTGTGGGTAGCAGGCACCTCTTTGAGGCAGTTTCGGGCCAGGGCCAGGAGGACGAGGAGGATGCCTAGGGCACTTGCACCCCTGGCTGCCGCCGCCATCGGGCTGGGAGAGAGGAGTGGAGTTGGGGCAGGGGTGGCTCTCACTTTCGTGTTCCAGACCAGCTGTTTCTGGGACCAGCTCGTGACTGACTCTTCACCTGTCTGGAAGGGGTGAGAGACAGCTGCAGGCTGTGCCCCTTCCGCCCAGCAGCCCTCTCAGAGGCCCCCGACACCCACCGCGCTGGACAGTCGGGTCACACTCGCCACAGCAGGCCAGCCCTGCTTGCCTGCGAGCACTGGGTCTGCCAAAGCCTTCGCAAGCGAAAGCTGGAGGAAGCTGCCTGGCCACCCAACACGGCCTGGCCCTAAAGGGGACCCCTCCCTGCCCCTGCACAGGGACACCGTGGGCTGGCTGGACGGACAGATGGAAGGACTGTACCGCTGCAATAGTCTGCAGCTCGGCCGGACCAACCAATTTCCAGCGAGTCCCATGGATTCCAGAGAAGGCACAGTCCTCCGGCGCCCCCAGGAGACCACTCCTGGGTCTGCACTGGCCCCACCCACTCCCCCAGCCTCCATTTCTCCAACTAAGACCAAGGTGCTGGAAGCCTGACCACTAAGGATCCAGTTTCTCCAGCTGTGAGCATTTGGTGGCATCATGAGGAAACTGAGGCTTGGGGAGATCAATAAACTTGCCAAATCTTAGGAGAACAAGGACAAAATCAAAGTGAGCTTGCAAACCGGGTCCCTCCTGGCTGTGCCCAGGCTGGTGATGACAGCATGTAGGATAAGCTGGTGGCAACACACCCCTCCCAGCTGCAGGTGAGCCTGGCTCCCGACCTTGGGCCTCTTGTGCAAGGATGAGCACGCTCTCAGCATGGAGGAGGGACCTGCTATGCGGTCCTCGCCTGACAGCCTGAGGGGGTGAGAGGGACAGGGTGAGAGGAGCATCGCAGAGGCCGCCAGAGATCTGAAGCAGGAAGTGGCCCAGTGAAGGGCAATGAGGAGGAGGTATTTCCAGCCAGAAGGAAGCACTGGGGTCAGCCCCAGAGGTCAGAAAGGGCCAGGGCTGGGGAATGAGGTGGGGCCCTCTGGTGGGGTGGGGAAGGATGATTTGGACACAGGCCTGCACATCATGTAACTGATAAAGGCAGCTTGAAGCGATGCTCCGACAGGCCAAGGAATGCCAACAACTGACACAAACCGCCTGGAACTAAGCAAGAGTCATGGAACAGAAACTCCCCGGGAACAGCTAACACCTCCATCTCCAACTTACGGCTTCCAAAATGTGAGACAATTCTGTTGTTTGAACCACCCAAATTTTGGAACTTTGTTACAGAAGACTTAGGAACAAAATACAGGTAAAAAGAGATGGGTAGAAAACCTGGTGTGGTGATGCAAGAGGCTGAGACAGGAGGATCCAAGTGCAACCCCAACTTGGGGAATTTAGCAAGATCCTGTCTCAAGAATAAGAGGCCAGGCCTGGTGTACGCCTGTGAGCCCAGTCCTTGGGAGGCTGAGGCAAGAGGATTGCCTTGAGTTAGAAGCAAGCATGGGCTACATAGTGAATTCAAGGCCAGTGCGAACTATATAGAGAGACCCTGTCTCAAATAAATAAATACATAATGAAGGAAATGAAAGAGAGAGAAAAGGAAGGAAGAAAAAGAAAGAAAGAAAAAAAGGAAAGGAAGAAAGAGGCTGGGGATTTAGCTCAGAGGTTTCACCATCTGCCTTGCAAGCACAAGGATCCGAGTTCGATCCCTGGTACCAAAGAAAGAGAGAGAGCGAGAGAGAAAGTCTGGGGATATAGTTAAGTGCAAAGGTCCTGCGTTCAATCTCTACTACTGAAAAAGAAAGGCGATGTAGAAGGGACAGTGTGCTAGTTATGGCGAGTAATGCCAGCTGCGCCCCACACAAACCCATGTCAGGGGCTTCACACACACACACACACACACACACACACACACACACACACACCCCCCTATTCCTCTCACTGAGCAGTCCACACTGGCATGTCTGGTTGGTGGTACCTTTCAGGTCACTCAGCGCTAGCACCCTTGTCAGCTAACATGACTTCTCTGTTGTATCCTGGGCATCCTCTCCACTCAGCCAGTGACAGAAGAGAGAATCTGAGGCTGTGCAGAGCTGCAGAGCGGCCTGCAGGGGCCTACATCCCCAACTTCAGCACCAAGGAATCTTGGGGAAAGGCAGACTGTGAGACGGACTTGCATTTCTGACAAGTTGCTGGACGTGATGAGGATGTGCACCGAACTTGCTCCCATGACCACACCTAATGCAAGGGCGGCAGGGAGATGGGCTCCAGGAACCTGCACAGGAGCTGGAGGAAACAGCACCAGTAAACACAGGTGGGTGAAGCAGGTGGGAGGAACAAGGCTCTCTCTCCCATGAGAAAGGACCGAAGAGCCGGGTGCGGTGGCGCATGCCTGTAATCCTAGCACTCAGGAGGCTGAGGCAGGAGGATTGCTGTGAGTTCAAAATCAGCCTGGGCTACATGGTGAGTTCCAGGTCAGTCTCAACTACATAGTGAGACCCTGTCTCAAAAAAAACCAAAAACCAAACAAACAAAGGACTGAAGAGCCACAGTTCAGTTGTGACTGGGACCCTGGAACCCCTCCACAGGGAGCCTCGCTGAGCTCCTGGAAAGGTGCCCCTCAGCCTGCATCCCTCTTCCAGGTCTCACTTAGGTGGACATGGGGTTTGCAGAGGAGGCCTACCTAGTTCATTTCCCCCAGGTCCTGCCCAGGGTCCTTCAGGGCAGTTGCCGCACACAGATCATCCATAGCTCCTGTGATGTACCCTGCCATGAGGGCCAGGCCCCAAAGGAAAATTTATCCACACTGAAAAGTGAAAACAAAAAAGAGACAAGACCAAAGCGGCTGAGCAGCCCCTTGGTAGAACCCAGATGAGGACTCTGCAGTGGGTCCACCCTCCCTCTGACCAGCTCTGCACAAAGAGCTGGCCTCAAGTAGCACCTACCTCCACACCTACTTCCTGGGGATGTCTACTGGGACACAGTGGCCGGACTCATCTCAGTGTCCTCCACATTTGCACCATCTTCCCCCTGCTGGACCGGGAGACTCTGGCATTATATGCCCCAGGAAAGGACAAGGCCCTTCCTGGCCTAGGACGCTTTCCAGCCAAGCCCAAGTCTTGGGCTCTTTGCTGCCCCCGTGTGACAGGCCTGTGCCTGTGAATTCATTGCTTTGTGTGTCAACCTGTACCACTAGTGTCAGGCTCTGAGGCCCCCAGCGACCCTAGGTTGACATCTGGCCTCTGTCTCCCCATCTGTGAAATGCACAGCAGGGATGTGAGACTCCCAAAAGAAGGCAAGAAGGAGCTAATGTCTCTGTACTCAGAGATTCCTGCAGAGTCAGGGATACCCCCAACCCCGCAAAGCAGTATGGGATGAACACAGCGCTTAGAACTAGCGCTTGGGTCACGGCGAGCAGAGTGTTTGAATCCCAATTCCTTGGGTCACAGCGAGCAGAGTGTTTGAATCCCAATTCCTTGGGTCACGGCGAGCAGAGTGTTTGAATCCCATTTCCAACACCAACCAGCTTCCAAGGGCCTCCGAACCTACTTGGTGGGTCTGGAGAATGGGGAGATGAAAACCTCACCACCCCACCCCCACCCCTGCCCAGCATGAGCCTTGGGAGCACAGACCGGCAGCTGCTTGCGGAGCACTGAGTGCTGAATGCTGGGAGTAGAGAGCGCTGAGGACTTTCTCAGTTCTAAGAGGTTCCAGGAGCAGCCTGCGTCTCCCCAGCTGCCCTCTGCGGGAGGAAGGACTGGGCAGACCTGTCCCCAAGGTGGACATCCTTTTCTGCCCATCTGTGTGGTTCCTCCACCAGCCCTCCCACGATTTTCATTTAGAACATGGGCATCCTTAGGGCTGGGGATTTAGCTCAGTGGTTCCGCCTCCCGCCTACAAGGACCTGAGTTCAATCCTTGGTACCCCCCAAAAAACAACTGAATAGAACATGAGCATCCTGACTGTCCCTGTCCTCTACCTTACCCCTTCTTCCAGAGCCTGCACCCTGACATTCTTTGTGGGCTTCAGGTGGGAGGAACAATGGAGACCCTGGTGGACAGGTGGTCCCTGGCTCCTCTCTGGTTAGGGGGTGTCTGGTGGGTTTCAGCATAAAGCTAGCATAGGAAGGAGAATCCCACTCCGGTGCTCAGCCTGGAGAGGGCACCCTGACACTGGGCCCATGTCCTTCAAATGCCCACAACCCCAGAAGCCTTCCTGAGGCAGTAACTGCAATCTTGGCAGGGGGCAGATCACCAACAGAAGCACCTTAGTCTCGCAGAATCTTCCCTGCGCCATCCTGTCCTCAAATCTTGCTTCTCCATTTGTCCCCAGAATGGGTGTCAGGCTGGGAGTAGAGAGCTAGCAGGGCCTCCTGTGGACAGCCTCCAGGGCCTTGGTGTGGGGTGGCAGGCTGGACTGATGGGCAAGGGATCTGGGCCCCCTGCCTCCCTCCACCTACTTCTTCCTACTTCTTCTTCGCGCTGCCTCCGCCCTCCCACGCACCTGCGCTGGCCTCCCCCCAAACCCTGGGGGCAGGCGCTAGGAGATCAGAGGACTCTGAGGAGTCGGGGCCCAGGAGGAGGGGGCGGGGAATTTCCCCCCACGCCTGCCTGGGCCTGCTCCCCTCCCCCTCCCCCGCCAGGTGGGGGGCACCGCCG